GTAGGGATTCCAGACTGAATACTAGTATTAGTTATATATTCCTAAAAGTTCTCCTATTATAAGAGCTCCTCCTAAACTGAAGGAATCTTAATAGATAGTAATAAAAGTATAGAACCAAAAGTTGTATACTTATCAAACTAGATATAAGGAGAGAACTTAACTTTATAGATCTACCTTTAACCTATCTTGTTAAAGTAACCTCTCTAGAGAAGGTAGTTAGAGGATAAGTCCTCCTAGAACCTAATATACTAGTAAATCTAAGCCCTTAGGGCAAATTTCTAGCTAGATAGGAGTTTGTTATTATACTTGTAGGCCTTATATCCAAACTTCCTAATCTTAGTCAAGTTAATTAATAGGTTACTAAGGTCTAGATCCCTATAGAAAACTTAGAGAGGGATCTCCCTAATAGCAAGGTTAACTAACCTATTAGTAATCTAGCTACTTAGCCTAATTATAAAGTACTATAGCTTAATAGGAATTCCTAAGGTAATAATAATAGCCCTTGCTTTAGAGAAAATAACCTTATTAGCTACCTTAGCAGTTCTATTCTACTTAGTAGTCCCTAGGGTAGAGAAATACTATCTTATACCCTCTTATACTGCCTATTCCTAGAGGGCTTTGTTCTAGAACTCCCCTCCTCTATTAGAGAACTATAGGGTAGGTTGCTTCTTATACCTGTTCTAGATATACTTTAACTATTAAGTAAGCTTAGCCGCAGTATCTCCTTTATTAATAAGGAAGATAGGCTAATATCTTCTTGTCTTTGTATAAGTAGTAATTATAATATATTAGTGCTTATAGAGATCTAGTAGACTAATTTTCCTAGAGAGATTAATATAGACTTTATCTAGTACCTTAAGGGGCCTTGTCCTTAGTATCCTTAAGACAATCCTTTATAACTTTAACAGTTTGTAGGTATAGCAATAGGTAAGTTCTAAGGTATTAAGTAGCTCGAGTCTAGGGAGTGCCTTCTTAGTTTGCTTAAGGATTGATTTACTAATATAGCTAAGCCTCTTATACTAGAGAGTGCTAGTTAGCCTTTCCTATCTTACTACTAGTATAGCAATTATATTAATTAACTTCTTAGGCTTGAGTATTAGGGAGTTGTATAGGATTAGGACTCTATTAATTAGGGTAACTAATCTAACCTGCTTTCCTTCCCTTATAAGCCTATATAATAGCCTATTAAGGTAGATACTAGTAGATTTATAGATCTGTTCTACTAAGATAAGGTTACAATCGGACTTAGGTAAGTATAGGGTATTCTAAATACGGATCTTAGTCTTCTTGCCTTTATGTTTAAGGTATATAACAACCTCTCTATAGTAGTTAATAGTACTAGTCCTAATAGCCTAGTAGAAAGAAGCTAGTTCCTCTATTGCCTTGAAGGTATAGAAGTACCTAATGTTATTAATAAACGTAAATAATATACTAGTATCCTATATATAGGTTAACCTAATAATAGTCTTCCTTACAGCTGCTACTACTAAGTATATTAATATACTACTACAGGCAACTAGTTAATTAGAGTTAGAATCAGAATTAGAGCTTTTACTATTAGGCTTTTCTACCTTAACTACTCCTTCTACCTTAGACCCCTTTTCTACCTTAGCTACCTTCTTTGACTTGTCCTTCTTCTTCTTCTAATCCTTAGGGGCTAGTTTAGGGTACTTAGTATAGTATCTCCTATTAAGGTAGCTATAGGTATAAAGGGTATATTTGGTATTAGGATCCTCTATTACAGGTGCTCCTCCTATAACTATTACCTATCTCTAATATACTAGAGGTTTCTTATTCCTTAATAATATAATCAATTCTTCTAAAGAATAATTCTTAGGCGGGTGTATATACCGCTAACTCCTAAGCTATTTATAGGAGCTAACACCGTTATAAAAGAGCATTTTGATCAACAGTAGTCCTAATATAATATTACTAGCTAGGTGCCTAATAGATATATTAGTCCTATTTGTAACTATAGCTCTAGTATTAGTATCCTCTATAGAATTAGCCTAGAAGTACTATTCTATAGCTCGTTAATAGGTCTAGAGCTAGTAGTTAAATTTATTATAGTATTTCAAGGTATTACTCCCTAATAACTTAATATTCCTAATCTATCCTAGGGTATTATAGATATTAATAGTAATAATTGGTCTAAAGGTAGCTACTACTATATTATACAGCTCCTTAGCTATCTTATCTAGGCTTCTAAAGTTTAGCCTAAGATTAGTAGCTAATCTTTCTATAATAATTCCTCTAGTAATATAATCTCCCTTTATAAAAGCAGCAAGATTGGTTTTGTATATTGTATTTATAATATTCCTCTCCTCCTAAGTAGCTATTATACTTATCTCTAGTAGTATTAGCCTAACCTTTGCATCCTCCTATTCAAAATTATAAAAGACATAACTAAGAACTGCCTTATTAGCTAGGGTACTAATAAGGATATTCTTCTATAGCTCGAATAGTATAGTTTTGGTAAGGATTCTATTAGTCTTCTCTGTCTTTAAAGATATAATAATAGAAGGGAAGGGGGAAAGGGTAGAAGGGGAGAGTAATATTAATATCCTAGTAGGTAGGTAATTAGGTAGTAGTTATATAGTAATATTGTTTACTACAACCTCTATAGGTTCTCTAGATTCTCCTAACAATAGTATACTATATCCTTTTAAGGGAACTATTAGTAGAGTAATTAGGGAGTCTGAATAATTGCTATTACTTTAAAGAAAGTTTTGATCCGGGCTTATAACCTATTGAAACTTAGAAGGTATAGAGCAAAAGGGTATAATTGAATATATACAATCTGTTTAACTACTGCCTCTTTAAGGCAGTGTCTGCATCTATTTATACTATTAATACTATTATACTACTAATACTATTATAATAATTTTCTATTAATCTCTATACAATCTCTGTACAGAGATTTCCTGCCTGTTAGAGATTTACTACCCTCGGCCTTGGCCCTCGGCCTGACTCGGCCTTGGCCTCCTGCCATCCAGGGATCACAACAACACGGCCTTATGCCTCACAACAGCAGCAGCAACAGCCCGAACAAGTCTTCCAAGCGAATCCTCCATCTCCGATCTTCTTGGCCATTGCGGAGGCGCCAATACATAGTCCGTCCGCTCCTCCGAGCCTGTGTCATCATCGAGCCTTGTCATTCGCTCGACCATGTCACATTAGGAGCTGCATGCCAATCTCCTTGCCCACTGCCCAGTATTGCACTTTGTTCCAGGTTACATATCTGATACGGTAGTGAAGACTGTGTCGGATGATGACACCAAACTCCATGTCCGCCTCACAGGGCGTCTGTCAGGAAAACGGCTGTCTTTGTGTTGAGGTGATCCAAGGTGTACAAGATGCGCGCACGATTTCGCTGTCAGCTGCAACGCCCGCAGCCGGACAAGGCCAAGGAGTGCATGGAAGTATGTATGTAGCTAGCCTCCTTGTCACACAGCAGGGGGAAGCAAGCCTTGCATCGACAGTTTAGTGTAAGATGGCGTCTTCTTGCCTGCCTACTATTTTCGCGGAGTTAACTTCACCTGGTGACAAGCTCCGTACCTGAGCACGCATAGAGACGAGCGAGGACGATCGAACGGGGCCGCGCGCGAGTCGATTGTTTAGGCGCGCACCTCATCACACAGCACAGCCTTCCCCCTTCCCGCTACCATGATCGGCCAGGTACAGAGCCCGAGGGAACGCCGTCATCATGTGGCCCTTCCCATTCGAGAGAGAGAGCACACCCAAGGAAGGCAAGGAGAAAGACACTGCCATCCGCTCTCTAGCCACGAACCATACACTGGTATTCGGAGTGCTGTAGCATACGGCAATGTTGTACCCATAAGTTCGTCATTCCTTGCCGGACCACCGAGATTCCGGGTCTACACGAGTACGCGAGTCTGTTGCGTGCCTCCCATCGCCTTTGACGGCTGCGGCGCAGTAGTCGCCGCGTCGTCCTTTTTCCTCGATACCGTACCTCCCCATTGTCATCTGCTGCTGGTCTGCAAAAGGTGCACACCGACGGCACATCGGGGAGTGGCATATCTTGGAAGCGAGTCTGGTGAGTTGGGGTCCCGTCCGTCACCTCACGGAACAGCCTTGTCTTGGCCGTCGTTGGCAGCTCTTGTCATTCCTCGACACCATAAAGAAGACAAGCGATTCGTAATCGTATCACTTGGGCGTGTCGATGTCATGGCTGACACATGCCACAAAGGAAGTCGGCCGCGAACCATTGATTACGTTTAAGGCGCTTGTAGTGTCTCTAGTAGCAGCTGCCGTCTCGTGCATCAAACAGACTTCTTCCACCAACACCTCATCCCATCGATCGAGCACGGCAGCTCTCTTGAAACGCATCCCGATTCTTACTAGTACCACCTGTCTAGAAGGTAGTCCACACCGCGCCACTTCTACTTTGCTTCTAGTCCCACTGCACGCCCGCGTCGGCGGACCCTGCGCACTCCATCTCCACCAGTCTTTCTTGACCGTCTACTAGCTCCGACTCCTTCATTTCTGCATTTCTGCGCCAGTCCTAGGACTACTGGGCGACAGGAGAGATACTGGTACCAACGACAGGAACGCGAGACAGATCACTACCTTGACCACGGCGACGACAAGGAATCTGGAATATATCACTACATCACAGCCCCGCTATGGCGGAAACAGACACCGCATACGATCGTGAACTACCTCGGCGAGCCGGCTCACCGAAGAGCCTGCAATGGGAGCCCCAGGATGGACAGTTGACAGGCGATCAAGAAGGAGAATTCAGAATTGGAACGCCGACCAGCGGCGAATACTCGCACAATCGATACTTGTCGGGCAGCACGATCGAAACATCACCGCCTCGAGACTCGTTGTCTGTGAAGAGCAAGGGACTAGCTTCCAGTCTACAGGTCGATCATGGGAACGGCCCAGAAGTGCGCATACAACATGCACCAGCAAGCCCAATCCATATCAGTCCGGGCCAGATGGCTCATAGTGATGGCGAGCGAGCGTCGATACACATGAGCGATGACGAGCGAAGTGGGTCGAGAGGTACTGCAACGCCTGATTCTGGCTATACGGCAAGTGTTACGTCGATACCCGTCCGACCAGCACCGAAGACCCCCAATGGCGAGTCGGGCCAACATCGAAGGTCTTCCGGGTCATTTGACCCAAATCGGATCGAGGAAGAAGGCGAAGATGGCGAGGGAGCGAATACATTGGACAGTCCTGGCTTGCAATATCATGCATTCTCGGACATTTCGAAGAAGTCGGACAATCGAGCGTCGCACGCGACTACACACTCCACAGGATCCGGATCGTCAGGCGAACGCAAACACCGCTCGTCCAATTCATTGCCTGGCTCGGGAGGGCTCGGAGTACCACGAACCGGCCCGTCGCGACCACTATCAGCATATACACTGAACACGGCATATACGCTTCATGGCGATCGAGGGCGAACCCTATCGCCATTGAGCGCACATGATTCCGATTCTGCATCACCGGCACGAAGTGGTCGCGAACTCTCGAACCGTAGACGCTCGCCGCTCCCCAGGCCGCAAAGCTATGTAGAATTGCTAGCGAACGTGCCCTATAACCAGCAGGTCGCTCCCAATGGTCAACTCAACAATGCCGGCCTACAATCAGTGGTGGGCAGCGCAGCGAGCCTACTTGATGCCAAGAAGACTCTCGACATGTATCGAGCAAACGTCAAGAAGACTCATGATGCTGCGGTACAGTATGAGTTTGCCATCTTTATGGTGAATGCCGCTCGTGATGCGACGCCAGAAGATGGCTTGGATCCGGCTGAGTTGACGAATGAAGCCAAGCACATCTTACAACGACTGTCAGATCGAGCGTACCCATTTGCACAATATTATTTGGCAGACGGGTACTTCAGTGGACTCTTTAACAAAGGCAAATCCGACTACGATAAGGCGTTCCCACTTTTTGTTGCCGCGTCAAAACACGGACATGCAGAGGCAGGGTATCGTGCAGCCTTGTGCTACGAGTTTGGCTGGGGTTGTGCCAAGTCATATCCCAAGGCTGTACAGTTTTACAAAGCCAGTGCCTCGAAGAATCATCCCGGGGCTGCAACACGACTCGGACTTGCGCAAGTCAGAGGAGATATGGGCCTTGATTTCAGGATTAGGAATGTGTTTCGAGAGGGTGTCAAGTGGTTGAAGCGCGCCTCGGAAAGTGCCGACCTCCAATACAATGCCGGACCTTTTGAGCTCGGACTGCTATATCTGAGTGGAAATGGGGACGACATCTTCAAGGACGAGGCGTATGCGGCCCAACTCATCACCCACGCTGCCGAATTAGGTCACGTACAAGCCAATTTCTTACTGGGCCAGGCGTATGAGAATGGACTGCATGGCTTGCCGAGAGACGCGGCACTCAGTGTGCACTTTTACAATGGAGCTGCGTCGCGCGGGCATGTGGAAGGCATGATGGCTCTCTGTGCATGGTATATGGTCGGCGCAGAACCCGTCCTCGAACGAGATGAGGCTGAAGCCTACGCATGGGCGAAAATGGCTGCGGAGACAGGTACGCGCATGACGTGACTTTCCTCTCGCCCTTTGCTACGATTCATACTGACTGTTTGGTGCTCTGCATAGGATGGGCCAAAGCGCAATACGCCGTCGGCTACTTTACAGAAATGGGCATCGGCTGCCGTCGCGACACGCTCCAAGCTAATGTCTGGTACGTGCAAGCTGCAGACCACGGCAGCGACACTGCGAAACAACGTTTGGCGATTATCAGAGCTGCGGCGAGCGGCGATCCGGGCATACCGATGAGTAGTGCTCCGCCGAAGAGTCGGGATCTCGCCAGCGGTGGAAAGAAGAAGTGGGGGCTATTCTAGGAGGATAGAAACGGATACAGCAGTGTTGCAACGCGAATAGCTCCATCACCAATACTGTAGTCGTAATTGTAATCAAGAGCTGGTGGCGATGGTGGCAGTGAAGATTATTGGCAGGGTGTGTGGTGACCAACACCAGTATGGCGACGCGTCAATGAATGCTTTTTAGGACAACAGGACGGGAGTAGAAATGAACCTGAAACTGGACGAGAGATTCGGTCACACAGGGTTTGTGGGGAAGAGAAGAATGTGAAGGAGAAGCAGAAGCAGAGGAGATGGTGCATTGAAAGAACATCGCCATCTGCCATTGGGTCGACGTGAGTGAGAAGCCATCCTCAGATTCTAGAGTGAGGAAACAGAACCAAAAAGAGCAACGACAACAAAGACGAGAGAGCAACACATCATTGTCCAGAGATCGGAGATTTGATTTGAGCAGGACAAAAGAGTTTGATATGGCGATTTGCTACATTGCATTGCATAGCGGGAAAACTTCTAAATCGCTGCATGGATATGGCATGTAAGGCATGTATGGATGGATGCGTGGCGAACTGAATGCATTTGCGACCGCTTTCTTAGGTCTGGGTGTGTATGGCGAATATGTCATTGTCAGTTAGTTTCGAGATACCTCACTGCATATTGCGCTGGATTTCAAGTGTTTTTTCTTCTTACTCGCTGAGCGGAATCTATTCTGGTTTTTGATCCTGAACATTCTATGCGCGCGTTCGGCTCATCTGTGGATGAGTACCCAAAGACGAATGACGACGCTGCTCAGTGTGCGCCATACATGTAGCTCGCAGGAAAGCACCAAAAGGAGACGAGCCAAAACGGCCGCTGAATTGGACAGGAGGGCTGCACTGTTCTTGTATACAATCTATACATACCAGCCTTCCTTTCCGCTCCGCATCTCCTCTACCCCCTCTTCTCTCTTTCCTCTTGTGCCATGTCGCTTCTCACTCATGTCACACTCCGTCCCTCTTCCTCACCATCTTCTCATCCTCTTCGCTATCCTCTCCACGCCAAGCTGCCTCCTCGCAATCCAATCCCCTCCTAGTGCTTCGCATTCTTCGAATTCTTCTCTTCTTGTTCCAAAAACTTTCTATGCAAGAATATATGATTAGCTTTCCCCGTTCTTTCCAACCCATCTTTCTCCTCCTTCTTCTGATTCCAGTTTCTGATTCTCCACCGCCGATTCCCAGATCCGAGCATTGAGGGGAAGAAGACATACTGTATGAAGTTCTCCTCGTCTTTACTGGCGGCGTTGATCGGAGGTCCTTGGTTTGCGTTGGCAATCTTCTTGCCGCCTGTCATGGACCATGTTCCGACGAAGAGGGTGGTGAGGACGCCGATGGAGAGCTGGAGATTCGTGTGCGTATCCTGTTAGTGGGTTTCGTTGCTCATGGCAGGATGGCCGGGCGCAAGTGGATGTCGCCAGCGGTGGAGTGCTTACAATGTGCGATCCGACCTTTTGGCCGAGGATTTCGTAGTAGACGACCATGTTGATGTGAGAGAGAGTAGTGTGGTGGTGTATGGGGCGGTGGAAGATGTCGTCGGGCGGGTTGATGGATGAATGGGCTCGGGGGTGCAACGGCGCTTCGCTTCTTTCGACGTCGCTGTCGTTGCAGCTCTTTCCGCGCGGGAGGAGCCGAGAGTGAGAGCTCGGTAGAGAGAAGCACGTCACACTTCCAGGCTGAGTCTGCTAGATGTAGGGACTGCTACTGAACTCTGCTTGCACTTCCACTTCCACTTCTTCTCTATACCGTACCAAAAGAAAAATCACTTCCAGTAGATCCTTAGTGTGGAACAGCCACCCTGAAAATGGTCAAGGACAACAGCGACAGCGAACACCTCTCAAGCGTGCCCCACGAACGCAACGAACCACGTCCCGACTTCTCCAAACAACCTCTCCCACGCAAGCCCCTCCCCAAAGACCTCCAAGATGTCCTCAACAGCGAGGAACGTCTCTGGGACATTGTCACATCTCCCGACGCCCCCGAAACTACAGACTCCTCCGTCCGCTATGCAGCCTACGCATCCCGCTTACGAACCATCATGCTCTCCGCCCATCGCTACGTAGCCTACACATCCGACATTGGAGAGTCCTTCCGCCCTGTCGCACACCCGTGGCTCATAAAGGGCGCCTACGGTGTGAGTTGGGCGTACTTGATTGGAGATGTGTCGTATGAAGGTGCTAAGGCGTATAAACACAACCAAGCCATTCGAAACCCCACTACCGAAGAGGAGATTTCTGCAGTAGCGGCGCGGCCGGGTGGGAAAGTCGTGCCTGCGATTGAAGATTACAGAGCTGTCATGGCAGAACGTGCGGTGTTCCAGAGTGTGGCCAGTATGGGTCTGCCGGCTTTTACCATTCATTCCATTGTGAGATATTCGGGGAGGGCGATGAAGAATGTGAAGAATGTGAAGTTGAGGACTTGGGGCCCTATTGGCCTGGGCCTGGGGTTTGTGCCTGCGTTGCCATACATTTTTGATGAGCCGGTCGAGAAAGCGACGAGGTGGTTGTTCCATACGGGATTTGAGATGATTGGGGGGCCTGAAGCGGTAGGGAAGGACGAGAAGGGAAGAGGTCCAGGGTTTGGCATGAAGGAGAGGGAAAAGAAGGAGCTATAGAAGTCTCGAGGAACCAGTGAACAGAAAACACGCAGGTGTGGTGTACAGCGACATACAGAAGCTCAGTTCCATGGCCAGGGATGCTAGATGATAATGCACGAAGCATGGCGTTGGTGGTCTCATCTTACTACTCAGTGTTGTACATACCATGAATCTCATCACTTGTTCAACCTCAGCCGCCTTGACAGGTGCCGAATCCGCAAGACGTCCATTTCGACGCTAACAGAGACAGTACCATGTAATGAGTTGTTAAGTCGATCAGTCTCAAAAACCCCATCTTTGCTTTTCGTTCCTCTGCCTCCACCTTCGACGCCGTGGTCTATAGCCGAGTTGTGAAGAGGACATTTTTAAGTGAACACCGCGCTCTTCTGGAATAGTACTAAGAGATTGAAGTGCCTCTTCTCTCACCTAGATAGCATAGTTACATAATAGCTTATTGAGGAGAGGCCAGAAAATATCTATATAGTACATGCGGCATGCGCTCGCTCTTGGTTCATCTATTGTACTTGGTCCTTCAAGGCATCGTCTCTATCGCCGTGCGTCCTCTCATTTTGCATTCCACTACTAGGTATACATCATCCTTCCAGTTTCTGCTATCCGTGCCTTCTCTACCCGCAAGACTTCAATTTCGACGCCAACAGAGATAGGTAATACCGCACAATGAGTCGATGAGTCTCAGTAATTTCATCATTTCTTTTTGCTCCTCTGCCTCCGCCTTCGACGGCGTGGTCTACAGCCGACTTGTCTACAGCCGAGTTATAAAGAGCAAATCTTCCATCCCCCCCGCCTTGGTCTCTATCCGTTCAACACATGCCTCCCAAAACAACGAAAATCTCTCTTGCAGCCTCCTGGAACTCGCCCCTTCTGCTTTCACCTACGACACCTGCAAATCGATCCGGATGCCATCGAAGTCTCTCCTTCTTCGGATCAATGCCTACACTCACAAACGCGGCTCGAATGGCACAGTCGCACGTTTTGTTCCTTCGTCCCTGCACACTTGACTTGCACGCTGGCCTCGAGCAGGACGAAGCTGGCGGGCCTGGAACGTAGGGGAAGCGCGAGATCGCGGTGTAGTTTGCAAAACTCGAGTGCGTGCATGCGAGCCACGCTGACAATTGATAGTATCCGGGGCGCTGGGGGGAAGCCGCAGATGCCATCATCGTCCTCTTGCGAGCGCGTCGCCTCAATTCGTTGGCCTTTTTCTGTGATCGAGTGCCAAATCCGGCAGCTGCTAGGTTCAGCTTGTCGCTTGCGGTCTGGAGACTGTTAGTTGCAAGTATGGACGAAGCTCGGGCGAGCGGTGGGTTGCTTTTACGTACGCTATACTTGTTCCTGGATCTTGCACCTTTGTCGGCCATGATGATGATGATGATGATGATGATGATGATGATGATGATGATGATGATATGAATCCAAGGAGCACGGTATTTGCGGTGTGTTATGTCGAGAGGATGGGTCCAAAAAAGGGTTGTGGTTTCGAGGTTCGGTGCAATATCAAGAACGTGGTGTACAATTGAAAAGAAGAAGGGGAAGGCATGATCGAATTTCAATGGAAGCTCAGCCTTTCCTCTGAGTAAGGTATTGTAAAGCAGGTACCTTATTGTCGGTCAACAATGGCTCACGAAGCGGGAAGCCAGCGGGCCTCACCTCAACAATAGATACAATAAGCCCTGCGTGGGCCCGTGCAGCTTGGCCACGGCGGTCCATCCCTTATACCCGACCTATCAAACTCTTGCTATTGTCGCATACCTACCTATCTATGTATGGGAAGTGGTCCTTGAATGGTCCAGCCGCTGATGGATGCTGGGCCGAGATATCTTACCACGCATGCGATTATTGAACCTGCGGCGACAAATACAAAGGCATGCGCCATGGTGACCGAGCAGGAGATGGAGTCACGTTCCAGGTCAGACGAATGTGCTGATGGGACTCAAAATCGTGGTCTAGCAGCGGCGGCATCATTTGCTTCAAATTGAGCTCGGTCGGCGTGAATCGTTTCGGCTTTTTCGGTCATGGTCGTGTAGGTAGAACAGTGGAGATGACGAAATGGAAGCTCACCACAAGTACCGTGTGGCTGATGCACCATAGTCGATCTTCCAAGCTCTAACTAGCTAGCAGGAGTGCTCAGAAACTTGTGGCTATTGTGCGGCGAAGCTCTTATCTGGCTCTCCCGCTTACATTCGCAATAGCGGACTCGGGAGTTGTATGAGCGAGGTGATGGCAAAGGTACGACAGGGACCGGTCATGACTTGCTGTGGAGATATTCGGTTCCTGGGCAGCTGTGACCCTTCGTGACAAGGAACAATCTCGCAGCGCTAATTCATTCATTCGAATGCTCCCAGAAACGACGGATGGACATATTGTGTCGAGACTGGAACTAGACAGTGCAGCTTTGAACTCTACGATACGTCGACCGTAATACCCTTGTGCAACCACCACGTCAGTGGGAGGCCGAATCGCTGCTTTGTGGGCATCCTGACTGCGCTTGGCCATTGTTTAGAGAAGTTGCGTTCCCCATCGAGAATGCCCGAGAAGTCGCTCTGGATCCGAGGTCTGGCTTCCGGCTCAGAATATCCGGTTGATCACTCTTACACTTTCCAGCCGCCTGTAAAATGCTCTCCACCAACCCGCATACGGTTTACATCTGCAACCGCTGCCACAGTCTTTGGGTCAGCCTCTGCCTCATCTGTCGATGTCGCATAGCTCGCTCGTTGGCACTGCTGACTTCAGGATCCGTTTTGCTCACGCGGATCATTATAATCTGCTCCTTGACAGTCTGAACAGGGCTCAGATCCGCAATAACCATTTGTCCCGAATTGAAAGCATCAAATATGTGCGCTTCCGTCCGTGCGGGTTGGCGAAAAGCTTCTAACCGGGTCTGTTCATCTTCGTCGTGAACTGCAGATGCGACTTCCACTCCTGCGCTATTCAACGTCTGCATCTCAATCTCATCCCCACGCGCTTCCTCTGCTGATCGTCGAACACCTCGTTCCTCATCCTCCACTGTCTGTGCAGTAGACGACGGAGTCGCTATGTCCGAGGCAACAGCGGCCACAGTGTCGTCTACAAGAAGGCTCAGTCTCAATTTTTGGCGCAACAGATGAGCCGACAAGTGAAGAAGCTGAAGGGCAAGCACGAGAAAGTCCAACAACAGCAGATGAATTTTGCTGGAAGGTCCTTTTTGGCCGATGAAGTCCATAGCCAGACCTCCGTGCAGATAACCTCTCGTAGCTTCTCCTGCCGATGGGGCAGCGAAGAGAACGTGCAAGAGAATACATAGCAGGTTCATGCCGACGATGTAGCCGACAAATGGACGGTCATCTGGCAAAGGAGGGAAGATGGCTGGTTTGGGGGTCAGGAAGTAGAAGTGGACTGCCGATCTGAGGAAGAACAGGAGGAAGCGGCAGCTGGATTGATGGTCAGCTTTGCAAGAGAGGCATGGATGGGAGAAATTACTCCATGTAGTAGATTGTGCTCAGCTCGGCATAAATGAGGATGTCCAGGTTGCGGAGCAAGTCATCGAGGAGTTCGGCGCGCTTCCGCTGGAAATTCTCGCGGTTCTTCCTCCGCTGCGTTGCCAGCTGTTTTGGCGTGAGCGGTGGCCTCTCTTCGAGACTATCATCATCTTGTGCTTGCTGCTCATCGAAGGGGAGAGAGGGACCTGCTGCCGCGGAGGACGAGGGCGCATCATTCATAGCTTGACCATGTCATGAGCACTTCGCTGCTACTGGTACGTGCACGTGAGTGAGAGACGGCGGCGATGGTGGTGGTGGTGGCGGACAAGGAGTGAGCGAAATGAGTGAAGAGAGTGAGTGAGTGAAGTGAAGTGAAGTGAGACTGTGAGAGGACGACGAGAGCCCCCCGGCTATTCTTGCCTCTTGCCTACAACTATTCTGGGACTAGGCCACGACGACGCGCTTCATACGCGACTTGCGCGACACCTCAGTCTTCCCGCCGTCACCCTCTGTCACCCTCTCTGTCTCTCTTAGTCTCTGCAACGATGAACTCCTTCTTCGACATTCGAGCGCGTCAAGCCGCCGCCAAAGCCGCTGCCGCCTCCTCCTCCATCAAAGATGACAAGACCAAAGACGACAATCGCCTCCAACCATGGGTCGAGAAGTAGTATGTCATCCTACACACCTTACACACCTTACACACCTTCAACACACCTTCAAGGGAATGTACTCAGACATGGAAATAGCCGCCCCAGATCCCTCGATGACATCGCAGCCCAAGACCACACCGTCACCGTCCTTCGTCGCACCCTCCAATCTGCCAACCTCCCCCACATGCTCTTCTACGGGCCCCCAGGCACCGGCAAGACCTCCACCGTCCTCGCCCTCGCCAAACAACTCTACGGCCCCGAACTTGTCAAATCGCGCGTCCTCGAACTCAACGCCTCCGACGAACGCGGCATCAGCATAGTCCGGGAAAAAGTCAAAGACTTTGCGCGAATGCAGCTGTCAAATCCTCCCCATGCAGAGGAATATAGAAAGAAGTATCCGTGTCCGCCGTATAAGATTATTATCCTGGATGAGGCGGATTCCATGACACAGGATGCACAAAGCGCGTTGCGGCGGACCATGGAAACTTATTCGAAGATTACGAGATTCTGTTTGGTGTGCAATTATGTCACGAGGATTATTGATCCTCTTGCGTCGAGATGTTCCAAGTTTCGGTTCAAGAGCTTGGATGAAGGGAATGCCGGGAAGAGAATTGAGGATATTGCTCGGCTGGAGAATGTCAAGTTGGACGAGGGAGTGGTGGAGACGCTGTTGAGATGCAGTGAAGGGGACTTGAGAAAGGCCATCACGTTCTTACAGAGTGCCGCGAGACTCGTGGGGGCTACGAGTACTGCTGCGACAGATACGAAGGTTGGCAAGAGGAAGAGGAAGACTGTAGAGGAGGACGAAGAGGAGGACGCCATGGATGTTGATGCAGCGCCGGCTCAGCCTGTGACAGTAGCGAGTATTGAAGAGATTGCTGGAGTCATTCCACACTCGACGATTGATCGACTCATCACCGCCGTCACACCTACTGGGAGGGGCACACCGCCGTATGGACCAATCGCAAAGGCTGTGGAGGATCTGGTAGCCGAGGGCTGGTCGGCAAGCCAGGTAGTGACGCAGCTGTACGAGAGGGTTGTGTTGACGAATGAGGTGACTGGTGATGCCGCGAAGAACAAGATCATGCTCGTGTTTTCTGAGACGGATAAGAGGCTGGTCGATGGAAGCGATGAGCATCTCACTGTGCTGGATCTATGTTTAAGGATTGCCGGTATTCTGGGCGGGGATCAGTGATAGCACCAAACAAGGATCCTAAGGGAAGTCGCCGCAAAGCCCGGATGGGCATAAATATGTTTCAGCGTCGGCGTTCTGGTATGGATGGCTGCACAGTACAAATCGCCGAAGAGGCTGTTGGTTCTGTATCAGCTGTGTTCTCGGTTGACTATCGAGGGCCTTGCGGCAATTCATGGTCATGTCCATCTCCTATTCCCTTCCACATGCCACACTCGAAGATTCCGCGAATAACAGCCATCACAGCATCAGAGTATCTCCAGGCGCTTCCCCTGATCTGCAAGCAAACTCGAGCCGCGTGCACCGCCATAGATAGAAGAAGCACGTTCCAGATCAAGAGATTCTGGGCACGCTGAACAGGATGCACCTCCGACGAGACGACGAAGATGGCGTCGCACAAGCTGCGCTGGACATGAAGTCAGAAACCACCAAGGGCCCTTGGATGTCATGCGTTGATCATGGGGTGTCGTGTCAAGTTCTCTAGAGCCAGGTGGTTTCCTGGGCAAGATAGATGGGTCATCACAACATGGTCGCAAAAACGGTGGCACAGCCTGCAGGACCATCTCTATTGCCAACATAGATATGGATCCATGCTACGTCAAGCAGACTCGATGTCAGCGTCCGGTTCTACCGGGCATGGCTGGTCACACGTATCATGTTCAACAGGACGGGTCATCGATGCCATACTGGAGGCTACCCGAGGCCACCCACGGGGTAGGGGTCGTAAGCATCCCCTACACATAAGGGAGGAAAGCAAGTCAGAAGTATTCCGTCAGTCCAGAAGTCTGGTCGTAGCGGCTGCATCGATGACCGCACGGAAAGTTCGCGTGCGCGTGAGAAGTTGGCATGTGATATGTGTGACACGATTTGCCATGCTTTATGTCAGCCACTGATGCGTTTGACCCATCTGCAGCTTGAAATACCCATCGTGAGAGCGTTCAGAACGTGTTTGTCCCTGTCGACGTGATTGCACAAACTCGGCCGTGGAACAGTGGCTGGCCCGATGCTACATCTTGTGTCTCGATATGCCATATTGATGCCCACTCCCAGGACTCACCGACCACGCTGAACAAAGAAACCAGATGGTACTTACGGCGGAGGCTCGTCGTCTGAGGTGTGCCTCACTGACCAATAAGGGAGGTGATGTACCGCCAGTATCACCTCGGTGGACCTGAGCTCTTGGTATAAAGGAGTGCTTCGCCTCCACGAGACAAATATGGCTGCCGAAATCGTCCTCCACATCAGAAGACGGACTCAGCTTTCTACTCCCACACTCAACCCACTATGATTGTCTTCGGCATCATCACTCCTCTGCTGGCATTGACTTCTTCGGTTGTCGCCATCACTTGCCAACAACAGCAGCAGGCGGACGGTCGGAAGCCTTACAAGTGCGTCAACCCGTTAGTGGGCTGTCCACAGAACTATCGATCCGTATACTACGACAAGGGCTGCCCGAATCCGTGGTGGAGCCCGCCATGGAAATGCTGCGTCTAGGTGCAACGTCACCAGAAATTCTTGATGTATGCATGGCGACGATGGAGATGTACGTGGAGAGGTCCTGTTGTTAACACAAAGTTTGCTAGGAGCCTGATGGGAGCAGACGCTGGTTTAATCTACCTTTATGATTTTGTCCTGGAGACAAGTCGGGCGATGTTGGCTTTTTCCATCTTCATTCCAGCATACAGATTTTGATCTGAGACGTTCGTTGCGGCCGCCGACGTGGAAGATATATATCGCTTTAACCGTATAGCAACTACGTATGGTCTTCCACTCGTGCTCCCGTTTTTCCTTGTGTCACCCGTCTCGTTTCTTTCACTTTGCGACATCTGGGATATCCCATTCGAGCATGATCACCTGCCCCTTGCCACTTTCTTATCATCATCATCATCATCATCAAGAGCAAGAAGAAGGCAAACAACATAAATCCATCTCTACTCCCTCCTCGCTGCTAACCTGGCCCTGGCTGTTACGAGGGTACGGAAGTGGCGGAAGTATTACATATAACAGGTGCCAGGTGGTGAAGCAGTAACAATAGCTACGAGGGCGAAGGAAGTAAGCTGTCCAGGTAGGTATTGGAGTCAATATCAGCACAAGGACTCCTAGTACATACAGGTAGTAAATACTACGTCTACAAGGCAGCTTCTCTAGGGACCAGCTGTATTCCGCAGATACAAAAGGCATCATCGCCTGCCCCCTAATTTTTCCTTTCTTCCTGTTCAGTTTATACCTCTACAAGCCTCCGAACCGACTTTTATACTGCCCGACACCAAAAAAATCAACGGCAGCACAACATGCAGATCAAGTTCCTGCTTCTCGCTATTCTTGCCCAGCTGGCGCTTTCCTTACCGCAAGAAAAACGAGCACCACAACAGTCGGATCCAACGTCCTGTTGCTTGTGGTATTGTAAGGGTAACGACGATGTATGTAGAAAGATATACATATCTCCCTCGCCCCATTATTGCCAACCTACCTAGACTAACAGATGGAATTCTCTACCTAGTGCTGCGCAAACCAAGTACGATATCCGCCCTCTTCTACTCCGTCTATTATACGTACCGCGCACGAGCTAAGATGTTGTAGTGTTAAACAATCCACGACAAAAATGTTCCCCCTCTCCCCGTCCTTTTAACGGAGCGCAAGGGAACCGGGAATACGAGACGTCCGCATGTCAAGATTCAAGAAGAAGAGAAGCAATGGAGATGCTGCTGCTGCGTTGTTCACCCTTCCAGCCCTTCTCGTCCTTTTTCCTCATCATCGACCTCTACGCAAGAAGCCAACGCTACAGTATGAAACTGACGAAGGTACGGGAGTGATGGAATACGAGGGTACGGGAGTGATGGAATGAAGAAGTTACAAGGGATGTCGTTCTTTTAGCAATTGTGTATGTTCCATATGGAATACCTAACTTTCCTTCTTTCTCACTTACTCTCTATCATTTCATCAATTTATTGGACTTTCTGTTTATTACACTAGCCCCTATAGTATCTACGACTCCCTTCATCGCAGACCCTGAAGCCACTTAGTCTCGCGTACTCTCCCGTTGAGGCAGAAACCGGCCCGCTGTATGCAGAATACTAGATGTATTACTACTAGCCACAAGGGCGAAAGGAAAGTAGGTTGGCCCGGGTTTAAATACGGTATATAGCGTTTTTGATGTCAGCACATGGATCGCAAAAGTAGGGATATAGTGATTATATATATGTATCTATCTTACTTCCTGCTACAAAGCAGGTTCCTTTTTCTCGTATTGGGTCAATGACTGCATCATCTCAAACAACACCTTGCACCTGTAAGGTAGGGTAAAGACCTTTCAACGGGGTAGGTCAAGGTTTTCTAAAGACATTCTACCTACCTCTCTTGCAGCTAAAAAACCAAAGGGCATTCATCGCCTGCCCCTCGATATTCCTCCGCTCTTTTTTTCTCTTTTCCACTACACATCAGCGGCCTTGTCCAGTATGCAGATGAAAATCCTACTTATCGCTGCTCTTGCCCAGCTAGCGCTTTCTCGAGCCGTGTCCTCCCCTAGTACCCTTATAAAGAAGGCTGAATGGTGGAATGATTGTTGTGAGTGGGGCTGTAACTCGATCCCGGCCGTAAGTCACCTGAGATATATAGAACTCACCATGTTGTCACAACGTAGAGACTAACAGACTTGATTCTCTAGTGTTGCCAGGCAAAGGTAGGATATTCGCGCTCATCTCCCTTTGTTTTTGTCTGCGTACGAGCTAAGATGGTTGTAGTGTTGAATCTAAGAGACGAATGTCCCCCCTGGTACGGAGCTCAGGTACTGGGAATATGGGGTCTCCGCATGTCAAGAAGGAAGAAAGCAGTGGAGATGCTGCGTTTCGATTGAGGAGGTGAGTGATGGAGATTTGCGTTCTGTTGGTCGTAGTAGAGGATCTCGTGTATTCTGACGTTGTTGGGTAGGAGGGAGGAGCGGTTGCTGGTGTTGTGATACGAGGATTCTCGTCAATCGAGTCTCTCTCCCTGTTATTCTTCCGTTCTGCAGTATCAAGACACTCATTTCCAGAGAGAGGAGGAAAGCTAGAAGAGGCGGGTGCTCTAAGAAGTCGCGGGCATGTCAATGCTCAGATTAGAAGGTCCTGTATCCTACACTCGTTTCCAATGATACTTGAGTGACTCTTCTTCCTCGTCTTGTCACCACCGGCCAGCTTCTCGATATTGGTATCATCCTCAGACCATGAAACTTCGTGGTAGAGACTTCCCGTCTGTGTGGTGGACGAAGACCTTGCTGTAGCTGTCTTCAGAGCGTTGTTGCCTTGAAGAGGGCTCCAAGATCGAATCGAGATTGTTCTAGAGTGTCGCCTGGGGTCTGCTGCGAAGTAGATTGTTACAGAGAACGGACCACAAATGCCACCAACGTGACGTGAAACCAGCGACATAGGGACATACCAAATTATTACATATTCGTAATTACAGCTTTTCCTCCCCTCCGTCCACAGAACTTGCTGGTCTGCTTTTTTCCGTACCCATTCCAAGCAAGGAAAATAGCATATCCGTAGTGGTATCAAGAAAACACAGAAACCCACGCCTCCTCATGATAATCATCATCATCGTCACTCCTATCCAGCCTCGTCCGCTTTACAACGTCGTCGGCTCAGGAGTCTTTTCCTTCTTATCCAACCCCACAGCGTGTTTCACCTTCTCCAATATACTCTCCTTTTGCGCGCCCACGTGCGGGCTGTTCTTGGGGGAGTTTTTCGCAATCGCAGCATCCTGTTCCTTGGCCGACGAATGTCCTCCATACTTCTCCTTGTGGATGTTTCCTTGTCCGCCTCGTCCCGTGTGGAAGTTGTCGTAATCGGCACCTCCGATGCGAGTCGCGCTTTCCGGGACGATTTCTTCCGAGGGTTTGTTCAATTGTGAGCCCGTGGGCTGGACCATGTTGCCTACGCACCAGGAGAGGGAGAAGTAAGTACACATGTCTTCTGCGGGGTGGGCGCATGGATGGTGATGTCAAGAACATGGAGATGAGACTCACCAGCACCGCCTCGACCGGCGCTGTATTCTGGGACGCCGCTCTCTCCTACAGCGCCCTCACGGACAATGGCGCCGTCGACGTAGTTGTTGGTGTCGTGACCGATGTTGCCCGCGCCGCCGCGGCCAGTGGAGTGGACTGGGTTCGACATGGTGTATGTTCGGGTTGCAAGAGGAGGCGATGAGTGGTATGTGCTGGTGCGTCAGTTGCAGTGAGTCTGTTGGACAAAGCAATTCAACAACACAAAGAAATAGAATGGGCCACGGGAGACTGTATCCTCCTTCAGAAGTCCCATCGGTAGAGCTCGCATCTGACTCTGTCACCAGGTCGCCGCCGATGACGCAAGATGAGCTTTTCTTCCCGTGCTCAGCGCAATCGGAGTCTGACTCGCCATGACCAGGAAGGCCGAAGAGGCACCTCATACTTCATCATTCGCTCATACCACCTTGAATGGTCTCAGAGGAGTGATTTTTTGTCGGTGACGAAGGGAAAAAAAGAGTGAACCCACAAACCGCCAACCGCCGACCTCTTCATCCATTGACGTCGTTGCCAAGCGGCACTACATGCCGTGATTGGCGCGCTGCCATGTGTCTTATCTCGAACGACTGTGCGCCTATCAATCGAGCACTTCATCGGTCCCGGGTCAAGACGTCAAGTGAACGAGCGATGACATGGACACCACGTGGTGATTCCTCGGTTGTCTGCAAGCACAAACGACTGGGGCGGGCGGCATATGAGGTAAGGTAGGAGGTAGCGAGACTCGGCATTGGTGGTATTCTAAGTGAACAAATCTGATACATCATCATCATCTCCTAGGTCTGTTCTCCAGTGCTGTCATGTTCTTGGGCTCGTTCATTACTACTTCTTTTCCTCCTTGTGGCCACCTCCACCGGTCGTGGGCAGACCCATGAACAGCTTGAAGGTGTCGTAGATCATCCATTGCAAGCCCGTGAGGGTTCCAATCATGACAATACTGTGATTACGTAAGCATCTTTTCTCGACGACATCAAGGAAGCGGGAACATCACTCACCGAACAGGCAAACCACTCCAGAGTCCACCGAATCCAATCTCCTTGTAGATCCTTCCCACGGCCGCACCACCAGACTCTCCGGCCTTCTTGTTGGCATTCAACTTGCTGACCATGACATCTGCAGGGTGAGAAATGATTGCGCAGAGGATACCAGCCAAGTAACCACCTGTGAAAGCAACTCCGGTCTGCGCGGCTTTGGAATACTCGTCTTTGGACTTGGGGAGGGACTTGTAGATCATTTCGACAATAGTCTCGAACGAGGCGAATTTCTGCAACAGTCAGTGTGGTCCATACAGCCGCCCTGCGTGCCAGATCTTACCATCATCGTATACGGAATTTGTCTGGCCCAAAGCGGTCCAATACCTTTGTACAGTCCTCCAACGCCCTCGGCAGCCACGATTTTGCTGATGCCGTCAAAAGTTCCGCTCGCAAAAGGAGGCATTGTCGTCTGCATCCGCACTTTCACTGCCTCCAACGGACACAGCCCAATGTCGGCCAAGAACTCCGCAGACGCAGAACCAGCGAGGTAGATCCCTGTCTTATACTTGACAGCATTCTCCTCACCTGCAAGATCCGAGTAGAACTTCTTGAAGTACTCGTACCAGCCGTACTTGAGCGCTCCTTGGACCGAATAGCCGAAGAATGTGGGAGAGCCACCGGTGTAGAGACCTCGAGCGCCTTCGGAGCGGATAATGGTGCGCCAGCCTTCGACGTTGCCCTTGTAGAGCTTCGAGTCGACTTGGCGACGGCATTTGACGAGATCCAGTGGTGTGACGCCCTGTTGATGTCAGTGATAGAGCGTCTTGACCATTACACAACACTTACCCAGTGCGTGATGCCACAGGCCATCAAGCCACCAAAGGTGCTATTACCCAGGTCAACAATGGACACAGACATGCACCAGTATGCGTGGTGTCTGATCTTACCAAGCAGCATAGTACTTCCCACTGTACAGTTCAATCTTTCCCGTCTTCTCTTGAGCGAGATGACTGGCTTTTGCAATCTCTTTGCTGGCGGCATCACTCAATTGAGTAGCCTTGTGTTTGGCATCTTCGGTCACGTCCCAAGCTGGGTACAGGTGGGAAATGTCTTTGCGCGGTGATGACTGGTGTGGTGAAGCGTGGCCGAATGTTGCGCTGAGAGCACTCGTGGAAGGGAATAGGGACGGCATTGCTGTTCTATCCGACTGCGTGGATACCTTGGTTAGTCGTGGCTGTGGATGTTCCAGGTTGTTATCGCCCGAGTGATGCTTTGTCCCAAACAGGCGAGGGAGAGCAATCGCGATAAGGTCTCACGTACCGCTTCTTGTACTGTTATACCATGAAAATCCCAGGGGGCGAAGAGGAGTTTACGTTACATGAAGGCAGGTAGATGGTATCTGGAAGCTCGAGGAGCTGTGAGGAGCTGCGAGCAGCTTGTGACGTAGGTAGTTTACCAGTTCTGCACGCATTACCTCCTACAAGTTGGAAACTTAAAAGGTGCCCACAGCAGGAGATACCTATATCGCTGACTAGGCTCGCGAAAAGGATTATTTGTACTTCAGGAGATGTTTGTATACAGTTCACGGTACATTGGTGGCATCCTGCGTGCAGTAATCATGTCATAGTACTGAGGACGGAGGGGAGAGACGGAAGCATGAAGAAAAAGGGTCCACATGAAGCCGATGTCTTCCGTGCCGAGGGCCGCTAGAGCTTGTGCCTGGCCGAACGAAGAGTCCTCTTCTTCACGCTTCTAACAGTACCTCCTACTACAACTGGGAAAACACTACATACATAGGCGATATGAAGCAATCCGGGGGCCGGATGTCTTGGAAGAATGCGATATGACCAGCTTTGCGAACGACACGAGAAAAAGGCACAGGCACAGCAGGACCTCCCGTCGAAGACCAAGCGTGAACTCGAGAGCCGTGGTATCCCGTGACAAGAGGCGGTGATTAGGTCCATTGTGCATCAGGTTGGTAAGAAAGAACAATGACGACTCCAGAAGCAAGCCGAGTGCTGCGGAGTCTGGTCCGGGCAACGAGGCCTCACGTTACTCGACAGCAGCGAAGGACCATCTGTGTCGAATGCCTGGCGAAGGAGAGGACGACGACATCTCTGCACCGACCGGCGCTCCCACTCGCAGTGCATCAGAGAAAGAGCAGGCGGCGCATGTCGACACAAGTGGAGATCCGTCAGCAGGGCATCACAGGCACCGGACCGATCGCAGAATACGATGCTCGAGTGCAATCGGGACGCCTACGAGACGACGAACACCAGCGCATGCTGATTCAATCTTTGCAAGATCTGCACGATGTGTTGGTCCACTATGTTCCGCCACCGGTGGTCAAGCCCACGATTGAGTCGTTGCAGCCCAAGAAGAAGGCCGGCCTGTTTGGCTCGTTGTTTGGTGGAGTGGGAGACAGTCAGCTGGTTATGAGGGCGAGACCAGACTTGCCCAAGGGCATCTACATGTATGGCGATGTGGGGAGCGGCAAGACGATGATGATGGACCTCTTCTATGACACGCTTCCGGATAACATCACTCATAAGACCAGAATTCATTTCCACAACTTCATGCAGGATGTGCACAAGCAGCTGCACAAGATGAAGATGCAGCATGGTCAGTATATTGACTGCATACCATTCGTGGCTGCTGAGATTGCCGAGCATGCTTCCGTGTTATGCTTTGACGAATTCCAGTGCACTGATGTGGCAGATGCCATGATCCTGCGCAGATTAATCGAAAGCTTGATGGCCCATGGAACTGTAATGGTCACCACTTCAAATCGCCATCCTACCGAACTGTATAAGAATGGAATCCAACGCGAGTCCTTTGTGCCTTGCATCAACCTCCTCCTCGACCAACTCCGCGTACTCAACCTCGACTCCACCACCGATTATCGCAAAATCCCGCGTCCGCCGTCTGGTGTGTACCATCATCCCCTCGACGCTTCCTCTGCCCGGCACGCCTCGTACTGGTTCAAGTTCTTTGGCGATTTCGAAAACGATCCTCCCCACGCCGATACCCAGCACGTCTGGGGCCGTAATATCGACGTTCCGAAAGCCTCGGGAAGGGCTTGTTGGTTCACCTTTAACGAGCTCATCGGCTCTGCAACAGGTGCAGCAGACTATCTCGAACTGGTCAAACACTACGATGCCTTTGTCGTGACCGACGTTCCCGGCATGAATTATCGTTCTCGCGATCTCGCTCGTCGCTTCATCACATTCCTCGATGCCGTCTACGAGTCTCGCGCAAAACTGGTCTTGACCACCGCTGTTCCTCTCACCCAACTCTTCATGTCACGAACCGAAATAGACAATATGATTGATGAGGCTGCGAATACCGTCAATGCCGACAAGCGAGTCCAGGCTGCCGCAAAGAAGAAGAATGAACAACAAAGTCAGGCTGGAAGTGATGTGGATGATACGATGAGAATGATGATGGACGATTTGGGCATGAATATGGATTCTATGAAGAAGAGTAGTTTCTTCACCGGCGATGAGGAGGCTTTTGCTTTTGCTCGAGCACTGAGTCGTCTGACGGAGATGGGAAGTCAGGAGTGGGTGGAAAGAGGCTTGGGCATGTCGAGTACTGGGAGTGGGCAAAAGGATGTAGAAGATTGGAAGAAGGTCAGAAGTAGCTGGCGGCAAGATTCGAATTGAACGTATATTTGTGTTGTTGGTCCGGGGTGGAGAGGTTTTCACACCGCCGCCGCCATCACGTCCACAGACGCGCACCGGATGCACGCGCTTGCGTACTAGGCACCCTACGATAAGATGCTCGTAAGAGTTGGGAAGTATACCGCCTCCCTGCCACACTCTACAGGCTATATCCTGGAGCCATAGCTATACTGTAACTGCCAAGCCGCGACACTTGTCCTTTTCTTTTCTGGATACATGGACATGATATGTCTCGTCTTACTTATAAGAAGAAGACTATTGCTACCAGGTCAATAGCAGCATATGCTTGTGGACTTGGCAAAATCACAACACCGCCTACGTTCAAAGCTTGGCCATATCGACCGGGTCTGCTTGACGACTCTCGAGCTCTGAAACCTTCTCATCATCCATGCGTTGATGGTTACAAGGGAGCACATCCGGATATCGCGGTGTGAAAAATGTATATACACCGTCAGTCGCTCACCATGCTGTTTTCCTCATTTTCCAAAATACTTCAAAAATGCCAGGACCCAACCCGAATGCTACCGCCGACTCCAACCCTCTTTCGAGAGCGTGGTTGACATTAGTCACACGTGCTTCATATCTTCCCGGACTCGCAGTGCTGGTTGATTCCTTGTATAAACATGGCTCGAAACATCCTCTCATTGTTCAATATACAACCGACCTCCCCGAAGACTGTATCAAATGTCTCCAACTCCTTCACGGCCTCTACCCGCTATGCCTCCCGCAGCGTGTCGAATCTATCCCCCTACCCGATGGTCTCGAGCCCGTAGCCGCTCGCTTTGCAGACACTCTGACGAAATTGCGCGCCTTCCAGCCTCTGACACAGAACGAACTTGATGTCCTGGGATTGCCGTCCACGCCGAAAGAAATCTGTTTTCTGGACGCGGACATTCTTATCATGCGGAACCTGGATGACATCTTCGACGTCCCACGACCCGGCTCGGATTGGGTCGCATCTCATCACGCCTGCGTCTGCAATGTGGACGGCGATCCTCTTGCACCACCAGAGTACTCGATCGAAAACTGTCCCTTCACCCGTGTGGAGCACCCAGAGGCTCTCGAGCAGCCTGTACTTGTCCCAGAAACGGAAGCTCAGAAGAAGACCTACGCCCTTCTCAACTCTGGCGTCTTTGTCTGCACACCTTCTCAGGAACTATGGCAAAAGATCCAGGACTTTTTCACAAACAACGAAGCATTGGTCAAGACTTTTAAATTCCCCGATCAGAACTTTATGGAAGTGTTTTTCCAGGACAAATGGGTGCCACTGGGTTGGCAGTACAATGCCATCAAAACCCATCGATACTGGCACTCGGCCGCCTGGCGAGATGACGAAGTCCGAGCACTTCATTATATCATTGACAAACCATGGGAAGTCAGGACCGGGAAAGGTGATGCTGCTGGATATCTCGGACGTGACGGTGTAACGCACAGCTGGTGGTGGGCTGCCTACGACCAGTTTGTAGAAGAAATGGCGCGACGAGGAGATGTCGGCCGCGCCGTTGTCGCTTGTGTCTCAAGGTACGCTGATGTCGCTTTCTATCGGAAAATATTCCTACTAATCTCATTCTCTAGGACTTTGAATCCCGCAGACTCGGCGCAGAGAAGAGTTGGAGGGAGGGAGCTACTCGCTCGACTAGGGCGAAAGAGTGCTTTGCCTGTTCTTGTGTAGGCTTACTATTATACAATATCGTATTTGATTCGTAGCGTTCTGCAACCTTATTACCGTCTCGTCTCGCATCCTCTATTGCCGTCTCGTCTCGTATCCTCTATTACTCTCGCGTCTTGTTCTTGTCTGTATATTCTTACTCTGCTCGGCCTTTGCCTATCCTATCTAGTCGTAATAGGAACGCCTTGAAATCGTATCGAATCGGTTCTACTATATATACAAACGTATCGGTATAGTATCCTTGCTCGTCTCGGTATATACGAAGTAGCTCGAATATCTAATTTCTTAAGTTTAAGAAGGAATTTTTGAAAATTAAGATATAAAATAGAGCCTTTATAAAGGTTTTTATATATAGCGGGAGTATAAATTTTATATAGCGGGAGGCATTTTAGGGTTGTACCCTAATACCCTTAGGTACGAATATGAATCCTTAGGCATACTTCTTCTTATATAAAGAATTTTCTTAATATACTACGATAGCGACAGTATTAATATATATAATTATAGACTTAGTATAGCGGAATATTAGATCGACTATAGTAACAATATAGTAAAAGGATAAATGTATTCAATAGTAGTATATTGCGTTATAGTCTATCGGAGGTAGCTAGATTACTTCTAAGCCGACAATACGATTGCCGCTCTCTTTAGCTAAATTACCTACTATAATCGATAGTATCTATCTGTCTCTCTATTAGTCAGTTTCGCGTATATCTCGTAATACTATCGCGTCTATCGTTCTAGCCTAAATCGTAGTCTACTAATATATTAGTACGATTACGAAGGGGTTACTAGCTCTATACTATTCTTATCCTCGTCGTCTACCTCGAATTCGCTATAGCTATCGCTCTTATTACTACTATTAGTATTAGTATTAGCGTTAGTATTAGCGTTACCGTCGGCGTTACTATCGGCGTTACTATTAGTATTAGTATTAGTATTAGTATTAGCGTTAGTATTAGCGTTACTATCGGCGTTACTATCGGTATTACTATCGGCGTTACTATCGGCGTTACTATTAGCGTTACTATTAGCGTCCTCTATCTCTTCCGCCTATCTAGGCCTCGTTATAGGTTAGGTTAGGTATAGGTTAGGTACAACCTAACTTAAATACCTAACCCTATAAATAAGCTAGGTACCTAGCTTATAAGCGGAGTACAACCTAACGGTAAAAACCTAGTAGGTATACCTAATAGGTATTGCAATAGGTATTATATAATACGAGTTGAATACCTACAAAATAGTAGAAAGAAATATTAATAAGACATATATACCTACTACCTAATTCCTAGAGCGTAGAATTTGATAGGAATATATTCTATATTTATTGTAGCTGCCGACTATATATACCGACTATATATACTAATCAAAAAGGGATTACTAGAATAATAAGGAAAGCTCTAACTAATTGATTATAGTTATAAGCTACTATATATTAAGGATAGAAACTACCTTAGTTCTTAGTAAGTAGCTAAGTATCTAGAGTAGCTTGCTCCTTCGCTTACTACTTTAAGGCCTCTACCTTAGCGTCTTATATCTTTTAATAAGCGCAAAGTTGATCCTCGAAATTTAGCCGCTACTAACGATAAAACTAATGCGCAATTTTCTTTGCGTCTCCCTCGAGAGTTTCCTAAGTAAGGCGTACGCTATCTTCTAAACGCTCTTTCGCAATAGTAAGCGCGTAAGCTGCTGCTACTAGCTTATTAGTATAGGCTTCTAGCCTCTACTTAAGAGTTTGCTTATTATCGCTAGAATTAGGCCTCGTTATAGGTTGGGTTAGGTATAGGTTGGGTACAACCCAACGTTAATACCCAACCCCGCAAATAAGGTAGGTACCTAGCTTATAAGCTGGGTACAACCTAACGGAAAAAACCCAATAGGTATACCTAATAGGTATTGCGATAGGTATTACGTAAAACCTCTTCTAGATATAGAATAAACATAGTAAGCGCTTCTGGAACAGTAATAAGCCTCGTATATACCGTACTGCCTGAACTCGCTAACAATAGCTGCCGACCATGCCTGCCGACTACGAGAATTAGGAAAAAGCAAATTAATTCAGGAGTTTACGGTAAGTACTTCGACATCTCCTTCTATAGCTAATAATACCTGCCGACTATACCTACCGACCACGAAAATTAGAAAAACCAAATCACTTCAGATCTTAGGCTTATAGTAAATGCTTCAACATCTCCTTCTCTAGCCTAGCTAGAACGCGTATCTAGTGTTTAAACCGACTTTCGGTTACTATATGCTGCTGCCTTACTCTCTAGGCCTTACGCATCTCTATTCTTCGCTAGGCCGCTTAGAAAGCCGGCTCCGTCCTTATTAATAATAGGGTCCTTAAACAAGTAGCTCTAAGGATAAAGCGAGCTGAAATTTCTGTCTCTAGTCTGTCTCGTTCGGTAATAGGCTCTTCTACAAGTATACTTAGTATCTTGTCGATACTTCCCCTAGCTACGAATTCTTACGTACCCCGATTATTCGCTTGATCTATAGCCACCGTATACGCTGCCCTTGCTATATCCTCTAATTCTGTCATCTCCTCGTCAAACTCCTACTGCGACTCCTCTTCTTTATCCTCTCTCTCTACATCTGGTCGACTCTCCTAGAGAGAATTAGGACCCGTCTCCTCCAAATCTGGATAATCGAAAGGATTATAGTCTTAGCTAAGCGAGATATCTTGATCCTAGGTACCTATATCCTCGTCGCTATACTGAAAATCTGCTTGACTGAGCGGTATACCTAGTTACCTAAAAGGAAAATCTGAATTCTCGGAAGCTATCTCCTCGTCTTCTTCTTCTTAGGCATTAACATAATCGAGGAGAGCCTAGAGATATTTATCCTCTGTCGTTAGGGGTACCGTATTATCGTCCTAAGCATTCTCCTTATTAGCTAGAGGATAACCAGTTTGAACGCTAGGATCAGTATCTGGATCGTATTCCGAGCTCTTATTACCGCTCGAAATTACGATAGTCGCCTACTTCTTACCGTCTGAATCGTTCAAACCCCTATTATCCTAATCGGCGCTAGGAGGATCTTAATCGTTCCCGTCTGTCTAGCTACTAGTATCTGCATTATCCTAATCGGTACTAGGAGGATCTTAATTGTTCCCGTCTGTCTAGCTACCGGTGTCGCTATTATCCTAATCGGTGCTAGGAGGATCTTGATTGTTCCCGTCTGTCTGGCTACCGGTGTCGCTATTATCCTAATCGGTACTAGAAGGATCTTGATTGTTCCCGTCTATCTGGCTACCGGTGTCGCTATTATCCTAATCGGTGCTAGGAGGATCTTGATTATTAGCGTCTGTCTAGCTACTAGTACCGGTTTGAGTACCTGTTTAAGCGCTAGGGTTATCGGGATCATCTAAGCTCTCGTCTTCGCTTAAGGACGCAGGAGTCTTCTTTCTCTTCTTCGCAGTCGGCTTCTTTGGAGTTAGCTTCGATTTCGTCTTCTTTGTCTTTGATCGAGGCTTATACATCGTACTCGGGTTAACTAGGCCAGAGCTATAGGGAGCAACTACGTAATTGTCTAGCCAGACATTCTACTCCTTTAGCAGCCTACGAAGACATTCGAGATCTTTCGCTATTACTATAACTCGCTTGTAGTAGATAGCGAGAAGATTGGCTAACGAAAAGACTTTCGTTACTATGCTCTCGTACTGTTCCTAGAGGATGCCGAGTGCGCTCGCTTAGATCCGTATAGGGAGGTAGTCTTCGGTAAAAAGGATAATAGCATCCCTAACGATGCGTACGAACGCGAGCTTTAGGATATAGTTTATAACCTCTGTCTAGCATTTTTTGATCTCCTACAAAGCTCCCTCTAAAAGAAATGTTAGTACATACCGACTATATGTGCCGACTACGTCTGCCGACCAGGTATACTTACTGCCTCTCTTTTTTTGATTTTTCTTTACACCTGCGGATAGAAGCCCTTTCCTACCTGTTGCGCTAGGGAGTCTCTTTCTAGATGTTCGTAGTACCTTTCTAGCGATTGAAAGCTTACGGCGCGCTACGAGTAACGGCGCTATAACGATAGCAGCAGCAGGCGGTATAGCAGGCAGAGCAGCAGGCGGAGCAGCAGGCAGAGCAGCAGGCAGAGCAGTAGGCGGAGGCTAGGAGGGGTTGTAGCGGGTAGGGGGCGGGGCGGGAGGGGGGGGGTCAATAACCAATGTTGATGTCGCAAGTTAGGTTTTTTTGGAAGTAGGGAATACCTTTGAAGGCGGCGGAATTCAGGGTCTAGGGGCGCGACCAATCAGAAGCGAGGGATTCTTTGTCTACGTAGGGTAGGCACCTGCCGTTTTTGGACAATAGAAGTGAGAAATAGTAAAGTGAGATCGCCGGAAATAGGAAATGTTGATATAACGACCGTATAAGCAGTGCCTAGCCCGTAAACAAGAGACCTAGAGATTTATATAGATATAATTAGTACGGGAGACAACATCTTACGGAAGCTCGTTTTCGGGTTATCTTACATATCTGGTACTAATTCTTCAAGTACTAGCCTCGAAAACGATGTTAGGAGTATATAGTTAGCAGACGTAGTCGGCGAATTGCTGTAAGATCAAAGCTCGGCACTTGAATTCGCTTCTCCTGCGAAGCGCTTCCGAATCCAGCGACAAAGTTTCATGTCCTTCTGTTGTAAGGTTACCCGTTTTGCGTAAATCGCCAGCATATTAGAGACTTCGAACTCCTATATAAGAAAAGCTTCCGTTGCTTCCTGCAAGCAAAGTAGAGCCTTAGCTTGAAAACGGCATACACTATTGCTAGCATTGGTTGCTAAATCCATCGTAATCTCTCGACAAATCCTTAAGAATAGAAGTCGGCGTATTAAAAGCTCCGTAGACTTCTAGTATTTCCTGATTTCTCGGAGAGCGGCTATACTAGCCTTCGTTCGTCTTCTCGCTTTAGGCGCCTTTCGAACAACAGGCTTTTTCTATAGTCGTTGACTTCCTAGTAGTCTCTTATTACTAGGATAGGTCTTCTGTACTACTTTTTTCGTACGTCCTAGTCTCCTTACGGCGAGACTTAGTCGAGGGGAAGCTGTATTAGAGAGC